TATAATACATATTATTATTATAATAATATAATATATATTACAATAATATATTATATTATATTATATATTATTATATATTATATATTATATTATTATATATTATTATTATTATTATATATTATATTATATTATATTATATTATTATAATACATATTATAATTGTTATAATACATATTATTATTATTATTGTTTATATTATTTTATATATATATATATATATATATATATATATATATATATATATATATATATATATATATATATATACTATCAGACGGTACCGTTTCGGCCTTATGGGCCTCATCAGTGTAGTGCTGATGAGCAGGATGAAAGTAACTGCTATTTACAGTTACCTTTGATGCCTCACGATTGTGGGACATCAAAACCATGCCAGAGCGCTCAAACTGCAAGCAGTGATATATATATATATATATATATATATATATATATATATATATATATATATATATATATATATATATATATATATATATATATATATATATAACTACAGACAGTACCGTTTCGGCCTAATGGGCCTCATCAGTGTAGTGCTGATGAGCAGGATGAAAGTAACTCTTATTTATAGTTACCTTTGATGCCTCACGATTGTGGGACACCAAAACCATGCCAGAGCGCTCAAACTGCAAGCAGTGAGCGTGCGCAATGCGTAAGCGGCATGGCTCATCCTGTAGAGCGCTCAATATGACCTAAAGGCCATAGAGCGATATCTAACTACAGACGGTACCTATATATATATATATATATACAGGGTGTCTCAAAAAAAACCAAAATCATTGAAATTGACGTATTGTTCGATATTCAATGCCCTAGCACTAAGTTAATCCCACGAGTGCATAAAAGATTGACATAACTGCTATAATGAATGGTAATACCCAGCGTAAACTTGTTATGTCAGGCATAAAGTACTAAACCCACGAATGCATATTACGCATATTACAATTTACGAAGCATTTTTAAATTCCCATGAGCAAACAAACGTTCACTTTACAAAGATATTTTAATTTTTTAAAACAAATTAATCACTTTGTCAAAATCCTTTGTGTTACGGCATTGAAATTCGAACAATACGTTATTTCAATGATTTTGGGTTTTTTTGAGACACCCTGTATATATATATATATATATATATATATATATATATATATATATATATATATATATATATATATATATATATATATATATATATATATATATATGTAACGAAAAGATTGTCTTAAATCTTTCAAGGATTAACGGCTGTTGCACTATTTGCCTAGAGGGGTTGGGTGACTGTCTAAAGAATGCTTTATCACTAACCGCGTAATGCAGTATCGTAACGCTCCACTGGTTTAAACTATACCGTTGAGTTTGCTCGATGAGTCGATCGCGGATGACAAAGTGTGTGGGGGCGTTAACAAAGTCATGCACGATTTCCTTTGAAAGGACTTTGAGTGAAACTTGATGACTGTGATCACAAACGTTTTAGTCGGGCAAATTTTACTGGACTGAAAGCCGGGCAATTTGTTATAGACCTTTTTTGCTTCTGCCATGCAGGTATATATTTTGTCATGATATTAATGTTGATATATTAATATTTATAGTCAGAGAAATTGAATGCCAGATGGACATTTGTTTCTGTAAATGTAAATTGCACTTATTGCAGGCAGTAAAGTGAAGAGTTTTCGACATAATATTATCTTAATTAAAGAATGAAATCCCAGAAATACAACAGTAAATAGTTCGGGGGGCAAATGCCGTCAAAACATTACACAAACCAAAACAATCGTATATTTACTCACCGCTTGGCCAAACATTCTGTACGTATTTCATATCGAGAAAAAACTTGTGTCAATGTGAGTAAAATACTCCTTGGATTCAAACGCTTTCATGTCGAAAGTTTCGTTTGAATACGGCGAGTAGAAATATTTATTTTGAATTTTTCAAAATACTGATCGGGTTTTACTCGCACGCACGTGCCACACGCTTTACCAACTGGCAACTGAAGAAGCATCCGTAGCCGGATACACGTTAGCCGCCAAAGTCAGACGAATAACGAATTAATTCGTTATTCGTCTGACTCAGGCTAAATACACGTCAAATCACTCGTTATTGGGGGTAGTTTGACCTTTACAATCGATTTACAGCATTTGCAGACACATGTAGCCATAGGGTACAACCACAGTTAATAGAATGAGATACAACTCATCTCATTGTTTTGACGTTTTAAAATTGTATTTCCAGTTCGGAGTAGCCGCTCAGAAATAACCGAAATAAAACATGAAAATCTGAAGATACTTACAAGCTTGAAAATAACTCACTAAATAGCTAGTGTTTTGGATTTTGATTATGGAAAGTTTAAACCCTCCCTACAGCGCGACTTCCGCTCCTCGCATCGTGCCGAATGCTTGTTAGCCAAATCGAACAATTTCTGGCACAAGTTTTACAAGGTTACAATAATAAAATTATAAAATCATTATATGGAGACTCATGCGTAACATCTATACGCAAGAAAATCGATCGGTCTCGGGAACCATATATGTAGAGTTTTTCGGTTGACCAGTGTACGGGATAATGCAATCGATGCACATATCGAGCTGCAATCGGGATAAAAATAAGCGATAACTGACTAAAATTTTAATTTCTAAAATTTCTCTGTATTTTTATATTGCTGTTATGAGTTATAATACGCGCGCGCCGCCATCTTCTCCCAAATTTCTGGTAATGAAGATCAGGGCACATTATACTTTCAATTTGAATGAATAATTTATGTATTTAATTAATTGACCTTTTGCGTAATAGACTAAATTTTGATCTCAACAAAAATTTCATCACAGCTTGAAAGAGCATCACAAAATTAGTAATGTTCCAAAGTTTCGTTGCGAAATGTTGTAAAATGCGGAAAATTTAGCCTTGCGAAGTTTGCAATTTTCAGTCATTTTAGATTACAAACCGGAAATTGACAGCCTCAAACCCTTCGAGGCTGTCAATTTCCCGTTGTAATCTAAAATGACTGAAAATTGCAAACTTCGCAAGGCTATATTATCTGCATTTTACAACATTTCGCAACGAAACTTTGGAATATTACTAATTTTGTGATGCTCTTTCAAGCTGTGATGAAATTTTTGTCTAGACTTGTTTAGATCAAAATTTAGTCTATTACGCAAATGGTCAATTAGTTCTCTATTTTATACAGAATGACGTCATTTATGAAACTATCTGCCTTTTTCATCATGGTGTCACTGATGTTGGTACCAATGATTAACAATGTGGGTGCGGAGTGCTACATGAATTGCGCTGCAAAACACTGGTCTTGTTTCAATGTTTGCGTTAACCAACAATGTGTTGATTGTCGAAACAGTCAGTGGCATTGTTTTGAAGGCTGTGTTAAACAAAACAAGGTGAGAAAACGAAATCGATTATTCAAATATGTCGACGAAGATATAAAGAATTCAAAGCAAGTTGGAAACCAGGACACCATCAGTCAATCAACGAAACTTATAGTATAATTGAATTCATCGTTATTTTTGTGAACTTTACTTTCTGTGAACTATGTTTTTTTTTTAATAGCGGCCACTATATTATATAAGTTAAACGGTAAGATGATGTAATTCTTGCACATAGTATTTTAGTTTCATTGCAAATGTGTTTAAGTGCATGTAAGACGAAACTCTTTGTTATCTTCAACGAAAACCCTATTTCAACTTTCGCTTTTTTACTAACATATTCCGCGCTGTCTTTACTAATAAAGTAACGGGAAATATGTAAAATGTTTCAGGAGTACTGTTTCATTGTCGACGTTATTTTGTAGGCGTATCTCAATAAAACATTAAATCTTAATAAGGTGGCTCAATACAGTTTTCTAAAGATGGTAAATTTGCGATTTAGATGCGTATTTTTGGACAAGTATATTAAGTATTACTTGTTGAAAAACAAAAAGTATCTTATTTACGTAAAATAACATGTAATTAAAGAGTTTGAATTTTTGACGCTTCAATAGACCTTTCCGGTAATTACGTCACAGCTACATTGTTTTCAACTTAGGACCACCTTAAATGGAATGGATTTCAACTTTTTTCTCATTGGCTATGCGCAAAAAAGCAGAGCATCCTTCTTCAACACATGCATGAAAAATATTTTTTTATTTTGACCAATAAGCGACTAAGCTTTAACACGAAAACGGGGCTAAGGGACCATTATGGCCCCTTTGGGCCCCTCAGCCTCGTTTACGTGTTAAAACTTAGTCCCTTATTGGTCAAAATAATATTTTTTTATCATGTATGTGTTAACGAAGGACGTTCTGCTTCTTCGCGCATAGCCAGTGAGAAAAAAAACTTGAACTCCATTCCACTTAAGCGTGATTTAAGGTGGTCCTAAGTTGAAAACAATGTAGTTGTGACATAATTACCGAAAAGGTCCATTGATGGCAGTTATTCTGGCTTTAAAGAAATTAACCGAAAACGACTTTGGTGACCCCAATTTTTATTTCATAAAATGGTTTCTTTTAGTGTATTGAATGACGTTGACAATTTGAAAAATTCTGTTGAGCCGAAAATTTTCAAATTACGTAAAGGTGATTATGCATAATTTTTTTGGCTCAAAACCTTTTTAAAAATTTGCCAAAATAATTTATTATACTAAGCAAAATCATTTTTTGAAATAAAATTTGGGGGTCACCCATATCGTTTACGAGTTAAATTACTTTAATTGACAAAATATCCGCCATCTTGAAACGTCACTGTTGCCATAGCATACTAATGCTTGATAATATTTTATATCAGTAGGACACTTTTTGTTTTTCAACCAGTAATAATTGTCCAAAAATACGGATCTGAATCGTGAATTTTCCATTTTCTCAAAAACAGTGTATTGAGCAACCTTAAAGCAATGCAACCACCACCGAGAATGATTTATACGTTTCATTGTTTCTTTATTTATTTCTCGTACAGAAGTTATCATGCTTATACTTAAATCATTTCGTTTGAAGATGACAATGAATATAAAGTTCTCGCCAATATCTCATTATAAATCAATTTTACTTAAAATATACTGTACGTATACTGAAATATGATATTACATATTTATTAACCATAAACTGTTATTTAATACTCAATGCAAATCAAACTGCTCATTTCATTAATAATAATTTATTGTAATAATAATAAGTTTGGAAAGTGTTGAAGCATGTAGCCTACTGTATTAATTAATATGAAGTTTCATGCAGTTTCTGAGTTTTTCTTCAAAATTCGAATTGTCAGCTGTTCTATCTATGAATAGTGTCAGCTGTTCTATCTATGAATAGTGAACGTATTAAACGCGCTTAAACATGTCAATCAAGACGTATTCGCTAGGGCGTAAACACTTAACTCATGGCATTGACCAGTAATTTGACTGATTGACGTGTGATGTAGGGTGTCCTGGGGCGAGCGTGTTTTCGCGCGAAAACATTTGATCAATAAGAGATATCTTGACACTTGCTGGACGTCTAGGAAGAACAGTTTCAGTAGAACTGATAGAGCTATATGAATCAATAGCACATTGTAAAAAATGTCTTTTGAACCAAAAGCAAGGTCAATATTCTACAATGTGTATTGTCTCTGACAACGATTTCCACGCCAAAAATATATGGTAATTGGTATCGATACCTAAATAACTTTCTTTCCACAAGTGAAAAAATGAGGAAAATCGATAAAACTACCAAAAATTTAAAGAAAAATTAATCTCGAATATAACAACACATTTGCTGAATATAGTCAAAATCTATTCTTAGGACATATCAAGCCATCAAGGCTAATTAGAACGACTGTCTTTTAATTTATGCTAATCGCGTCCCAGTGTATTTACGCACGTGTAAGGGTGCATTGTCGGTAACATTTTAGGCAGTCTGATTTGTTAAACTTTCTAACGAGTTGGTTAGAACTGACAATCACTGTAAAGCCCTGATTTTTTAGCCATGTTTTTGGTGAGTACTGAATGCAGATCTTTAGTTGCAATGGAGACAAAGGACTCAAGTTTGACGTCTTTGTAATTGTAATGCAGTGGAGTTGTCTAACTTGTCTCCATGGCATGAGAGCACTTTGGGTTAATAGCTTTTCATTTAACAGTTAATTTCATTAGCATTTGGTGGAGCAACATCAAGACCGTTAGCAGTGATATCCGGTGTACCGCAGGCTCTATTCTTGATCCTTTGCTGTTTCTTTTATACGAAATTAAACTATCTCTCTGAAAGCGTGGGCAACTCTAGACGTTCCCAAAGTCCTTTCAACTTTTTTTCGCGGTTCGTATCTACGTTAATTGGAAAGGGCTTTTCTCACTTGCAGCGCGCCAAATCTACCGGTGGATTTTTTTTTACCGGGGTGTGATTGGGGGGTGTCATAATTCTAGCCAATAAAAAGCGCATATTTAAATTATTTGAATTAATTATTCAAATGTCGTTACAGTTATAAAATAAACATTAAAACAAAGTCAAAGTCATTTCAAAGTAGAGAATATGGTTCTTCTCGAAGATGCCGCAATACTAAATATTGTCAACAGAGACGCACTGTTGTTTAACTGAGTTAATTTTCTAAACTAAAGAACGGCAAACAACATTTGTTATTATTACTGTATTAAATAGTTCAATGTTTTCGTCTTTTTATGTGCAAGAAAGAATCGCCGTCGCTTATCTACATCTTCAGACTCGTCCATGTCTTTGCTGCATTGAAGACACAACGTCGGTCATAGAATTTGGAGAAAAATCGTCTTGAAACCGTTAAATAAAATATAGCCACAGAAAGAAGTATAAATCTACTGTAAAATATACGGCATTTTGGTCTAAATTGATAGCATTTTGTTCAACCGCTTATGCTATTAACAGTTATTGTCATCAAATTTGAGCGGAGATCTACGATCGAAAAGTCAAAGGAAAGCAGTGGAAATGTTGGTGCCCCCCCCCCCCCCTTCACGGAAAATTGACGAATTTTCGGAAATTTTGACCTAAAAGAGGGCTAAAAACAGTCTTTTCGAGTGCAAATGGGGGGGTATGTCGGAAATTTGAAAGTTTTGTCGGAAATTTAGGAGGCTTCCCCCCCCCCCCTGGAAAAAGTGAATTTCCGCCACTGAAGGAAAGTCTATTTACAAAATGAGCTGAAATCGACAACTTTTGTGAAACTTACATGCGCATTAACTGCAATAATTTTCGCGCCAGAATTTTTAATCAGATCCAAATTCGCCGCTCACCGCTCGCTATTCGAGATCGACTTGTGGGCAAGTCTAGGGCAACTCCAGCATTGCAACCTTTGCGGACGATACAAAGATCAAAGATCTTTAAAACTGTAAACGTGTCTGACGCATCATCGCTACAAGAGGACCTAACAAACTTTTTGAAGAGAATTCCAGCAAGGTAAACCTGATATTAAACGCTCAAAAATATAAAGTCTTAAGAATAACCAGAAAACCCCCTGACCAGAAAATAAAATATCCCTACAAGCTATATGATGTTGTTCTGCAAAGCACTGTTCACGAACGTGATTTGGGAGTGTGGACGTCTTCCAATCTGACTTGGTCCAAACATGTTGAGGACCAATGTGCTCAATCAACCAAAATGCACGGCTACGTAATGGGATCTACACTGGACATAAAAACTATCCGCGGTTGGTCGTACTCTGTATTGGTGGCCGGAGATTTTGCCGAAAGACACCGGACATAAAAACTATCTCGGTTCATCGTACTCTGTATTGGTGGCCGGACACTTTGCCGAAAGACATTTTGCCTAACGGAGTAACGAACATTTTGCCGATGGAGATTTTGCCGAACCGACGTTTTGCCGAACGGACATTTGCCGAACGGACAGTTTGCCGAAAATAGAGAAATCTTCTGAACTTTAAAGATTCGCTTGCACGGTCAAAGTTTCTGTGATTAAAGGCATTGTCGATTTTGACGACAGAAACTTTGATAGTGAAGTAGTTTCGTTTTATATTCATTCGAGGTTTTGAAAATTTTCTGAAAAGTCCCTTTCCGGGATGATCAATTATATTATCAATCAATCAATCAAATTTCGCGATAAAAAAGAATAACGTAAATCTCTAGGTTGTCATCGTGAAGAGCCAGGAACTCTTCCCCACGTGTAGTTTGGCAAATGTTTCTTCTTTCTTCTTATCCAAAACATAAACAAAACCTTCGTAAAGCAATTTGCGATTTCCCGAGAACTGTAAATGTATATATTCCATGATTCTCGAAGTGAAATTTGCTTAAGTCGTTATATACCCTTGTTTGTTTACGACCTGACGTCACGAATTTGGGACCGGTCTGAAATTCGTCCTTTTTCGTCTGTTTACACGAGAATTCGTCCCGTGGTTCTCGTGTGTTTATACGGCCGAAAGGGACGAATTTCAGACCGGTTCCGAATTCGTTCGGTACGTACTGTGTAAACGGGATCTAACAAATGAGTCATCCGCTGCACAACAAGCTACCAATAGTCGATATGGTCATGTACTACTAACGAGCCATGCATTATGCACTGCTAACGAGCCATTATGCGCTGCTAACGAGCCATTATGCACTGCTAACGACCATTATACTGCTAATGACCATATAATGGTTATTTTACATGATTGGTTGAGAATTACACAGTTGAGAAATGAGTCACATGCAGTCCCAAACATTTAATTTTGACGAAATAACATCTCTATTGTCGGCAAGTTGTCCTTTCGGCTAACTGTCCGTTCGGCAAAATGTTCGTTTGGCAAAACGTCTTTCAGAAAAATATCTTTCGGCAAAGTGTCTTCCGGCAAAATGTCCGGGTACCAGTGCCTTTTTTAACTATATATCTGGGGGGGGGTTGCCCCCCCAGGGAAAGAATTTGCCCCCCCCCCAGTAAAGCCATTTCTGCCCCCGAAGTGCGAAGCAGAATTGCTCATGATTGCTGTCAGAATTGCAGTTGATTTACTCGATAATGAGATTATATCCTTCCATAGCCTCCTCCACAGCCATCTTGTGTGTAATTCATATTGTTCTTCACTGAGTATTTCATAATAGCGATAGATTTCATGCAAACAATCCGATAAAATGCTAGCCTTTCCAAGCCTTGCGACTATTTCCTAGCACTCGCCTCCGCAGAGGCGTTGTGTTTTGTTTTGGGAGGTTTTATTGCAAATTTTTTTTCTTTAAAATATCAAGTTATATTAAAAAAAAAACCCATTCTCTCAGAAAGTACACGTTACATGCTCGAAGCTGAAACTGATTAAGTTCGTCTGGACTGAAGAAAAAGACGGTATACTGGAGGAACTTGATTTGTGAAATCTCGTTAAAACAGTTGTAGATATGGTTCCAAGAAGAATAGATTTAGTTTAGATTTTTAACTGTTAAATACATGTATGTATCGTGCATGAATATTTCTTCTCAGACTTATTCTGTATCGTATGAAAAAGCAACGCAATTTTGAGAATGCGGAAATGGTGTCTCATAGAACCTAAAATGATTTAAATGCAACATTTCTGATCAAAATCACATTGGGACCCCCCCCACCCCCCCAGCATCACAGAGAGAAATAAGGTGACACTGACCCCTCCTCCCATTTTTCAAGGTGACTTTTCCAATTTATTTAATTCCGAGTAGACATGTCTGTAAAAATTCATGTCTTCGATGTACTTTATAATCTTCAGAATTCTGCTAGATTTCACCCCCAAAATGCATGAAATCGCAATTCAGGGATCCTAGATTTCAAAATTTTCCGGACCCCGGACCCTCCTAGACGGTCTCACGCCTTCGGCGTGATGTTCGCCCCCCCCCCGCCCCGCAAAATAAAGGTTTGGCTACGCCACTGGTTATAGCTGTACGATTATAGCTACAAAGAGTTGAAGTTATTGTTTAAAGCTAGTAAAATAAAGCTGAAGTAATTAAAGTTTTACAAAATCTCTCTTCAGACTCGCACGCTCGCCAAACCTCGACGGCTCATAATTTTCGTCCTGCCTTTTTTCCTGTTTTGCCCCCCCCCCCGTGAAAATTCCTTAAAAAAGGCACTGCCGGGTACCTCTGTATTTGACTCTTGTACGCTCAAAACTATACTATGCGTCTCCACAATTCGTGGAACTGATCGTTTGCACGGAAAGAATGCAGAGGCGTGCGGCGATGTTGGCTACAGTAAGAGACTCATACTGTTACTGTAGACCTCATTCCTCGATAACATATATAAAGTATTAAGACCATTATAAAGAGACATAAAAACACAACTGATGCGCTAGGTTAATGAACGATAACATTCGCTGCAATTCCATGTATATATACCAGCTTGCATTAAACACATTATTTATTGTGAATTATCGAGTTAACAATGGCTTAAAAATTTTGCAGATATGAATAAAATCGATAACACAAAGCAAGTACGGAATGGACTTTACTACTGAAATATGTTTACACTTACCCAAACGGCACAACAACGATTAAATTGTTAAGAACGTCATCGTAAAAACATCAAAACAATTATTACAAACTTTGTTTCACGGTTGAACAGCTTCAGGCTTATTCCAGTTAAACTGACAAAAAAAATTGCTGTAAAACAGCAAAATACGACCTTTCAAAATGAAAAACAATTAGCCATTCCGAAGTTGATGAGAGGACTGGGGACGAGTGTTAAAAACTGCCCAAATTAAGAAATGAACCAAATCACTAAGAAGACCACCTCAAAATTACTAAGTATACGAAGTTTGAAGACGTTTACATGAATATCCTTCGAATAATAAGCTTTCGAAAATCGCGATATTTACTATTAAATGTACTGCAATTTTTGTTTTGGGGGACGCGCGTCCCAAAAACAGTCTTTTAATCAGTAATTTCACAATTATCGAAAGCTTATTATTCGAAAGGTATTCATGTAAACGTCTAAAAACTTTGTATACTTAATAATTTCGAGGTGGTCCTTTTATTGATTCGGTTCATTTCTTAATTTGGGCACTTTTTAACACTCGTTCCCAGTCCACTCATCAACTTCGGAATGGGTAATTATTTAGCCAGAGCTTGTACTCACGCGTGCGCATAACGTCAAAACCGTCCATGACATAAACAAAATGGAGGACAACTTTGAACCACTGCTTTGAACTTCGCTATGTTTTCACATACCCGGGTATAATTAGCCGCGCGGAATTTATAGTACCCTCGCCTCGGACTTACGCCCGGAACGGCTCGGGGATAAACATCAATAGGGAGTTTAAACTTCATGTTTGCGGGAACGGCAAACGGCAAGGCCGACATTTCTTCAGGGCCTCTTTTAACATACAGACTGGGGGCCTCTCCCCCTCCCTCGGCCCTTTTAGTGGCCCCTCCAGTCGGCAATTTTGTCCTCCCCCAGTGCCAGGTCCCTAAGAACTACTTGCAGTAGGTGGTCAACCAGCAATTATGTTTCAAAGTGAGAAAATGATGTTAAGCTGTTAACATTTCTTAATTTGACCATCATCTGCAGGCCCGTAACTAGCTATGAGTCAACCGAGTCAGTTAACTCGGTAGGAATTTGGAGACTGAAATTTAAACATCGCCAGAAATCTACACCATGGCTGAAATAATTTGGTCGTGGAAAAAGGCATGAAATGACATTTTAGGACTGAATTCTAGTTTAGTTTTTCCATATTTTTCCGCAAGCAAAGATACTCCAAATAGACCACCCTATCTTGCTCTTCAGTGACACTGAGAAGACGAATGCGTCCATATCAAGTACCCCAATATACGTAATAGACGTAATACAGTACTGTAGAATTTGAAGTGTGGTGAATGCTGATAATACTACAACGACGCGCATTTTCATTACCACATCATCACATCATGTTGCCTTATTGGGACTGGATTACATTTGGGAGACCGTAAAATTGCAGTAATTGTATCACTGTTTATAAGGTTAATTTCTTGTTGGAACACTCCTCAAAATGCTGGAAATCAGAGCCTCTTTAAGGATGTGTGACTGAAGGGGACATATTTAGCGAGGAACCTGGAGAAGTTCCAGTCAGCAAGTCTGTATCACTGTAGCTACAAGCATTAACATGCATGGTTTAACTAATAAATATACGTCATAGGGCAGCCGCAGCAGATCAGACCGCAACTAGGATTCTGAGACAACCGAATCGACCACCGAAGGTGTTAGCCTCTAGAGGGGTCTGGGGGCATGCCCCCAGAAAATTTTGGATTTCTTGAAGCTCAGATAAGCTATTTCTAGCGTTTTTGAGGAGTTTTCCAACAAGAAATTAACCTTATAAACAGTGACACAATTACTGCAATTTCACAGTCTCCCAAATGTAATCCATACAGTCCCAATAAGGCAACATGGTGTGATGATGAGGTAAGTGAAAATTAATGTTCGTGATATAGTATTATCATTCACCACACTTCAAATTCTACATTACTGTATTACATGTATTGGGGTACTTGAAATCGACGCATTTGTCTTCTCAGTGTCACTGAAAAGCAATACAGGTGCTCTCTTTGGAGTATCTTTGCTTGGGAAAACTAAACTAGAATTTCTTCCTAAAATGCAAATTATTTCAGTCATGGTTTAGGTTTCTGGCGATGTTTAAATTTCAGTCCCCAAATTCTGGCCTACCGAGTCAACTGACTCGGTTAATTCATAGCTAGTTACAGGCCTGCAGATAATGGTCAAATTCAGAAATTTAACAACTTAACGTCATTTTCGCACTTTGATGCATAATTTCTGGTTGACCACCTATTGCAGGTATTTCGTAGGGGAGGAGGGCAAAATTGCCGACTGGAGGGGCCAGTAAGAGGGCTGGGGGGGGACATGTCTCCCCCAGTCTATATGTTAAAAGAGGCCCTGTAGAAATAGCCTATCTGAGCTTAAAGAAATCCAAACTTTTCTGGGGGGTGGTTGCCCCCAGACCCCTCTAGACGGCTCGCACCTTCGGTGCTCGACTGGGTTGTCTCAGAATCCTACAATCCTGGACAAAAAAAGTGGTGGCAAAAACTAGTTTATTATTTAAAATATAATTTTAAGACATGTTTGTCCCAATGATGCCCCCTTCCCCCAATATCAATGTTCGGCCAAGTTATCTGGCCTCGAATACACCCATCAACATTGATATCAGGGGAAAGGGGGTGAAATTCGATGAATTTTCTTATTTTTTAGCCTTTTGCCAATAATTTATGTCCAGGATTGTAGATCTATCTCTCACAATCCACAAAGCGTACCAAGAAGTGCTGAAAAAGGTTAGTAAAATCATTTTCAAACTTGATATTTAAGAGCTCGAAATCTCAAATAATATTTTGCAATTCTAGATTCCCCTTATTACGTTTTCGTAGCGCTTTCCATTGTGGTTATAGTGGTATCACTGATAAAGATAGCGGTCTCGAATGAAAATATTGAATGTTTTCACGAATATTTTGCTGTTGGCTATCGCGCACCCGACCCTAGCTTTTTTAAAAGTTCTTGCACGAGTCAGGACAAAAAATAAGCCATCTTGAATATCAGTGATACCACTATAACCACAATGGAAAGCGCTATGAAAACGATTTTGAGATTTCGAGCTCTTAAATAGGGTGTTTGGAAACCCAGGAACCACAGGAACAGGAACTACAGGAATTACAGGAACCCGGACAGGACAGGAACTACATGATTTTCAGGAACAACATCGCATGCCAAATTACAATGGGCAATACAACAAAGTAAACAATACAACAAAGTCAACAACGCAGACACAAATAAATATTTGTGTTTACTAACTGTTCATAGGCACATATTTGTGTTTACTTAACTGTGCTATCATGTAGTCTCATAACTTGGAAAGGTTTTGAGTGGTCAGTTTTATCTATTTATTATGCACCTATACCATGCAGGCATGCATGGTATAGGTGCATAATATCCAACTTTGACAGTGGATCATGCCATTAAATTATATCCAACCCCCTCCTCATTCCCCCCCCCTCCCCCATGGATGCTCTGATTCCCACAGGGCGTTTTTTCGCATAATGCTGATTCCGAGAGGTCACTTTTTCTTTAGAACCATATTTCCCACACTAGGTTATATATATGTTGAAAGGCTTATTACTATATCCAACTATAGATTATCCGTTTATTACGTTTAGTTCCCACTTTTTTTACTTTCCCTCCTTTGCAACCACTAGCTTTTTTTTTATTCCGCGAACAGAGAGTGCTAAGCCAGTTGGATCATTACAAGAAACTTTTTTAGTTAACAATTGCAAATATGTGTTAAGTTTCCCAACTTTCTCTGCACATGCCACAGCATCTGAGCAAATTTTTGGTGAACTTTTATACATTGGGCAATTACATGTAACCAAGTCAGATGAAACATTAACTGTATATGGCTCATCACTTGAAAAACTGTAAACAAAAAACTGTTGAGATTGATTTGGACATGATAAAAGTGAAGGCTTTTCTTTGATAAAACTTGAATTGCTCAATAATCGTTCTGCTTTCCTCCAGATATTACCTAGGGTAACGGCATGCAAACTCGAATTACTTATGCGTGCTTCTTGCCATGAAATTGATAATGTTTTATTAAGATAATCACCTACATTAGTGTTGTTCTTGCTTGAATCAAGTGATTTTTGTGAAACATCTTGCACAGTAACACTCATAACCTTGGCAAAATGATTTTTCTTCCTCATCAATTTCTAAGTATTTTAAATCTTCAATAAATTTATAGTCTCCTCTTCGAAAAATCGCTAATTTAATCATTTCAATTTAACTGGATATGATGTTTTGAAGAGACAAAATAACATCAGGGAGATCTTGTTTTTTGTATTGAACTCCTTCTTTTATGACATGATTTATCGATTCACTTCGATGGTTGTAGAAAGGGAGTGGCGGCTTACCCAAACCAGCTTTTTCCCGCACTGGTGCCAGCATGCTTGAAAGGATTTCTGGAATTACGGTTCTGAACCATGCAATAAATCTATCCGGAACAATGGCATGCCAAGCATCAATCGAAGAATTTAAAGTAGCTGTGAAAATATCTTCACTTTCACAATCAATCAGACCACCATAGTACGTATCTTCAATATTTTTACCAAATATGTCATTCAAAATCTTGTTCTGGTTCTTAAGAGAAACCCCTTTCAAGTGTGTTTTACAGTTTTCTCTGAAATGACCTATGCAGCGAACATGTACAGCAATTTTAAATTTCTTTCGAAACTGATTGTACAAAGCTTTCTCACCATCAGTACCAAATGCAATTAAATTATCTTCAAGTAATGGTAATTTCTGTGTTGTTACCAAAGTTAAATGGCTGTAGCAACTCTCATCTAAATTATGGCTAATCAGTACAGGTCAAAGAAATGTTGGGTGTTTTTTCGTTCTGTTTGATGCCAAAAACAAATTTTCATACGACATTGGCGTCACATAAAATGCACCTAAGTTAAAAGTAGGATCAATGCTAAGAATGCTAAAATTAACAGGTGATGTGAAAAACCTATGTAGATCACGCAATTGACTATCATAACCAAGAACAAGGAGTTCAGGATCGGAGTATGCAGAAATGTAGCGTATAAATCTATTTTCAGTATTTTTTGCGCGTCTTGCTCTCTGATCATAGCAATGATGTCATAAAAATTCATGGCATTCGTTGCTAATGTCACATTCCTCTTCTTTTTTGATCGATTAATGTCATAAATGGTTTGTCTACTACACGAAGTCGCCATTTCACTTGCTTTTTCTACTCCTTTTGTTAAGTTTCTATGTATAGTTTTAGGTTTATCTACATTTATTAGCTCTCTTACAATAGCCTTTGTTGATGCATTGGTGCTCTTGTATGGGGCATTAGTACGGACAGCATTACCATGCCGTTTGACTACAAACAGCGGCCAGTGTTGTTTTCCAGGGGGAACGGTGGGGAACGCCGTCCCCCCACTTTTTTACCAGGGAACGCCGTCCCCCCTGCCAAAATCAAACGGGAGGGAACGCCGTTCCCCCTGGCAGGGATTAAATATGAGTGAAGTTCAGTGAACACCGTTTGACATCATCCAAATAATTTTGGCATCACTTGTTCTACATACGTGTTATTATTGGCAATAATTGCTCAGCGTCCTACGTAGACATTCTTCAGAACGCAATTGTGTCACTATTTTAATCTGCCTGAAACTTGATATTTATTATTATTATTATTATTATTATTATTTATCGTTATTTTCACATCATTTAACACGGTGTCTAATCAACCCAACTATTACTAATATATATATATATGCAACCCAACTATATATATATATATATGCAAATTAAAATGGTTGCTTTTCATTAGGCCGTGTGTCAATAAGTATACCAGTTATTTACAATATTAAAAGGAAAATAAACAAAAATACAGAGATAGAGATACTTTCACTCTACGTTATTCCTTTCGTTCCAAATTTTAGCAGCAGCATATCCAAAGGTGCGAACCATAGAGTTTGTTTTCGGTTTAACTTTTGGCAATGCTAAAAATTTATTATTGCTTCTTTAATCATATCTTTCAGAATTTGATATTTCAAACTTTTCAGCTATATTTTTCGGGCAATTTCCGGTAATAGCTTTTGAAACATACGCACTTCTTTTTCTTTTCTTTTTACGGATAGGTTTTTCCAATTCAACTTTTTTAAAATATCTTTTGAGCGTATATCATAAGTATCACCTGTAATGACCTTGCTGCCCTGTTTTGAAGTTTCTGCAGTTTTTCCTTCAGGCATTCGCCGCAATTGCCCCAAACCAAGGAGCAATACTCAAAATAAGGTTGAACCATAGAATTATAAAGAAACTGAAGCGTATCTCTTTTAACAAACTGTTTAGCTCGTCGTAATATGCCGATGCCTTGAGATACTTTGTTACTTATGTTGTCTATTTGTTCATCCCAGCGTAATTGATCATCTATTACTATGCCTAAGACTTTTTTAGAAACGACTTGTGTTACGTTTTTCCCATGCACCGATGTTAATATTCATTTCACTTGAGAAATTTTTAAATTTCTGCCGTGTTCCGATAATCATATACTCTGTTTTACCAACATTCAAAGTTAATTTATTGCCGCTACTATCCACTGATGGATATTATTCAAGTCCGAATTTAAAATGGCATGTAAATTGTTAATATCATCGGAACACGCCGTCAAATTCGTATCATCCGCATACATTTCAGCACTAGAGTATCTTAGACAGTTCGGGATATACTTGCATAAAATTCTAGCTGACTAGCACAAAAATACGAGAGTCTGATAATTGACGTCCGCTTAGATAAGTACTTACCAGTCACAAGCGCGGATAACGTCTCTCGCGCAATCGCGAAATTAAACATTCAAATGAACAATAAAATGATCAATGGGGACATAAAATGATTCAATAAGAACATTAACATGGATAGGATAGGATTGGATAGGGTAAAAGGGTATCTATTGTCTAAGCTTATTTAGTTACTCGCGAAAACGTCATATTCAACTTGCAAAGTTGCCTGTTTGCCGAGTTACTCCTCACATAGCGCTAATTGCATCATCGAAATTCGAAAGTCAACGTCATATCGGCTGGTAATGACCTCCGGAATTTAATGCCCCTTATTATGCTTGTCTTACCATATCGGCTAGTATGACTCACGGAATTTAATGTGCCTTATTACGCTTGTCTTACCATATCGGCTGGTAATGACCTCCGGTATTTAATGAGCCTTATTATGCTTGTCTTGCCATATCGGCTGGTAATGACGTCCGGAAGTAATGTGCCTTATTATGCTTGTCTTACCATATCGGCTGGTGATGACTTCTGGAATTAATGCGCCTTATTTTGCTGAATTAATGTGCATTATTATAATGTCGTTTGTTTCCCCGCATGCAAGATGTGGTGGTCCCTTCTGTTCCTTGGAGGGGTGATGCTACTCATTACCCTTGGGTGGCAGCTCAAGATGCCATTGTCATGGATCTTAACCTGAGTCCAAGTAACAGTAGTCAGTCCAGGTCGCCCCCCTCGGTCAGCTGAGCTAACACCTAACCAACCAAACGGGTAAGTATGGTGGACAAGGTGTTAAATGAGGTTATGCAATAACTAAGGTTAGCAACTTGGGAACCAGGTATCCTGACGTCAGCACGTCACATGACCGGGGGGATGGCGCAATGGGAGTAGGTGACATCTATCATTCCAAGTCTGACGTCCAAACGACAACAACGTGCGTTTTGAATTTTGTTTTTTTGCACGCTTAGTTCAACAATTTATTTCCACCAATTTTAATTGGTGTGAAGATGTAAGTTCGTTGGGGGGTGGCAGCTCAAGATGCCATTGTCATGGATCTTAACCTGAGTCCAAGTAACAGTAGTCAGTCCAGGTCACCCCCCTCGGTCAGCTGAGCTAACACCTAACCAACCAAACGGGTAAGTATGGTGGACAAGGTGTTAATAATTTAGTCATGCGATTAACCCGCGCTCACGTGCACTCCACGCTTACGTTTCTCGCGCATACGTAGACGAAAGTCCACCCTGTTGCGCCATTAGGCATTACAATTAAATACAAAGACAAACGTACTGCGAGTGATTTGTCAACAATGCGTACTGCGAGCGATTTGTCAACAATACAATTTCGCTTGATTTTCAAAGGCCATAAATCGCTAGAATACTGTTGTTTAGTAATACATTTGACATCCGTAAGTACAATTTCTTACGCTGAATCGAACGGTGGTATTTTTATCCTTATTGCGCCATTCCATTAGGCATTACAAATACAAGGACAAACGTACTGTACTGTGAGTGATTTGTCTGTCAGCACTCACCAATACGTACTGCGGAGCGATTTGTCAACAATACAATTTCGCTTGATTTTCGGCAAAGGCCATAAATCGCTAGAATACAGTTGTTTAGTAATACATTTGACATCCGTAAATACAATTTCTTATTATTATTTAAAAAAAATTATTATTATTATTTAAAAATATTTTAAAACGGTAGCTCTTCAGGGCTCGTAGGCACCTGTTTTTCAATTTAAGAGGCCGTTTATTACAGTATTTACAAGCTATTTAAATGTAATAACACAAATATACACACAAAAACAGAGAAAACATAACGAACTTAATAATTGCATGCACTACATTTGTATCTAAAAATATTCTATCCTATTTAAATATTTACAAAGTTAGCAAAAGGAATCAAGTGCCGTCAAGAATACATTTAAATTTGTTAAGGCTAATGCCTTTTTCTTTTGCTGTAGTTGATAAGTCATTCCAAAGGGATGCAGCTGAATAACTGAAGCTCTTTTTCATAAAATTTGTTTCAGGTTTCGTGAATCGAACGATGGTATTTTTATCCTTATTGCGCCATTAGGCATTACAATATCATATTTCACACTACTTACTATTACTAGGCCTAGGGACTGTTGTTGCATAAATTTTATATTGATATGACACCAATATGCTTCTCATAAAGTAGTTATCTATTAAAACTACGTTGTGTATAGTTTAAGTTATAACTTTTTACCTTGAAATTGTCTTTGGCTCGTTTATATTAAGATTCAGTTATTTCAGTATATTATGATCGTGCACGCCACTGCACGGGAATTCATGATCAAAGATCCAAATTTCGGATTTTCAGAGTCGTGCACCAAGAAAAATGCATTAATAAACTAGCAAAAATGCCCAGAGTTAGACACCATACAAAATCGATAGAAAACACTGTACAATTCGTTGCAAATTTTAACGAAATTGTTTGAAACATTCTGCCCACTCCACGAAAGGCCGCCATTTTGAAAAGGATGAATTGGGCTTTATTATATAAACCATATAAATAAGTGTTATATAGAGTTTTTGGCCACTGAGAAAAATCGTATTTAAACATACGTAAAAAATACGATATTTTTACGTGTGAAAATATCATTTGTTGTAAAACGCATTGCCACGGACATTTTATTGGTAATAAATCTGGTATTTCCGCGCACCATTTATTCTCTATTTATTAGGCAGCTCATTAATATTCTATTTTGCGGCAATCAACGACTACTGACATCCACCATGTGTGCCAAAACCTACACTCGCCTGGGCACCCGTGCCCCAGCGAGTAATAATTACAACGGTCTATAACTTGAGGCCTTCTATTTCAGTAGACAAGTTGTCATCATGCAGCAGTCTGTGTGACAGATGGGTGTTGAGCAATACTCTGCTCCGAGTACGGATCTGTTTGCGTAGTAGGCGTATCCAGTTCACAACTACTACGATACGCGCTAAATAGTTACTTGTTTACAACGCAAAAATAATTATATTGGAACTAAGGGGTGGTGCGAAAAGTGGGCGTATTTCGTTTCTTGATGTATTGTCTGCAATCTCGTTCCCCGAGCATGCCTGTTCGCAGGTAAAGGGTGCACACCCTGAACCTGCGAACGGGCATGCTCGGGGAACGAGATTGTATCGTCTGCAGTCCCTCCTTCCCTTCTAAGGAGGGACCACTCGCAGTTTACGTTACCTTTGACCGGTTCATAATCCTGCATGCCACCTTATATATTGTCTTCGTATAATCGCTAGATGACGAAAAATATCGGATAGGTGTGAATGTAGCAAAATTTAACAGGAAATTTAACATTGCCATGACTTGGCTGAAGTATATTAAACTGTTTCCTTTCCGGTTTTACATCACATTTTACTCCTTTAACACGCGAGGAAGAACAATTGGATTTCAATGTACCAGGTGAATACCTCATCGACGCTAATAAAGTGTACAATGAACTCCGCAAAATTAAAACCAATAAAAGCCCTGGTCCAGATATGATACCTAACAAGATTTTGAAAGTGTTTGCATATGAACTTGCCCCAGTCATTACGGACATTTACAATTCGTCTATCATTCAAGGCGTGTTTCCGATTAACCTCAAACGGTCTATTGTAGTTCCAATCCCTAAAGTCTCACTACCTCAAAGCGTGGAGGACGATCTAAGACCCATATCACTAACGTCCCAAATTTCTAAGGTCATGGAGGGGTTCACCTTGACAAAATTATTTGCCCAAATTGAGAGTAAATTGGACACGAAGCAGTTTGCGTTACCAGGGAAATCTACGACTCACGCCCTAACATACCTCCTGCACACCATTTTGTCTGCCCTTGAGAACACTTCCTGCTCCGCTAGATTGTTTTTTGCAGACTTTAAAAAGGGGTTCGATCTTGTTGATCATAATGTCATAATATGTGAGCTGGAAAATCTTGGTGTACATCCTGCCATAGTGAGGTGGATAAAAGCTTTTCTTAGCAATCGTGAACAGTGTGTGCGAATTGAAAACTCATACTCCTCGTGGAAGAAAACAAACGGTGGTCTACCACAAGGAACAAAACTGACTAGGACCGCTACTTTTTGCAGTCCTTGTAAATTCTTTGCTCAAGGATTGGCCTGGGAGTAGTGGGAGAGTCAAATTTGTCGATGATACTACGGTCTTGGAAATAATTCCACAATGTTCACCCAGCTTCCTACCAATTATTGTAGACCAAATATCCGATTATGCAAACGAACGAGGAATGAGACTAAATCCAAAGAAATGCAAAGATATGGTTATTACGTTTCTTAAGTATAAACTAGTAGAAAATGACATTTTTATAGGCGGTGATGTGGTGGAGAGAGTCTCCAGTTTTAAACTACTAGGCGTGTGGTTGACTAACAATCTTTCGTGGGATATACACGTAGATAAAATTTTAAAGAAAGCGAATTCACGCATCTATGCTTTACGCCTATTAAAGAAAGCTGGATTGAGCCCTTTAAACATTGTTCATATTTATTGTGCAGTTATAAGATCCCAGTTGGAGTATGCATCACCAGTTTGGTCCGCTCTTCCAAAGACATTATCAAACCTTATTGAGTCGGTGCAAAAAAGAGCTTTAAAAATCGCGTATCCCACTCTATGTTATGATGAAGCATGCATTACACAAAAGTAACATTAAACTACTGAGTACAAGAAGAGAAGAAGCATGTAGGAAATTAATTAACTCACTTCGAGACCAAGATTCGCCACACAACCCTTTAACTGCAATAGTTAAATCCGGTCTACCAGACCGAACTCATAATTATGATCTGCGAATAATAATCCGCAACTCTTACCGATAATGTCTGAACGGTTAAAGAACTTTTTTACCATTAAATATAGTTAACATTTTATGAATACATTTTTATAATAGGTAGTTTAATAGTTAGAGTATAGACATAGACCAATTGCGAAACTTAGTGACCGCGCCTTAAACTGCACGAAAACGAGGCTTACTATGCAAAAACAAATCATTCTGCTATATTTTTTATATGGCGAAAAATGAATTTCAGTGTTTGATACGCGTTTTTATGGTATTCTCTTCATTTTTTTTCAATATTTCTGTTTTGATTATGTAAATCTTTATTAAACTTGTTCATAGATTTAGTCTTACTTCAAATTTCATTGTTTTTCGCGGCGTGCGAGGCAAAGTTTTGCTGTTTTTCGCCGTCCGATAAAAGAAGCAGATTATACCAGAGAAAGAATCAGGTATTTTCCGTCTGTTTTATTATTACATTTCAAAGAATAAGTTGTAACATTGATTAATTTTGTTTCAGTTGTAATATAATAGCAAGTTTTCGATTTTAACTTTAAAAATATGAAAGTAAATGTCGGGCAAAATTTGTAGAAATTTTATGTTATTATCCTTTGACAAAATCGTTTTTTCTCGCACAAGTCTAAAAAAATCTGGGTAGAAAGAGTTATATTTTAGTTTGTTAAGTTATACTGGCTATTTTATTTGCATCTTGATCAGATTTTAAAGTCTAGATTGATCTTTTCCATATGTTTGTTCCATCGCATGCTAAAACAACAACGAAATATCTCTCTAAAGCGGGTAAAAATATAGTGGGAAATCGATGTTTAGATAAATTTAACAAATATTTATATAACCTAGCACGAAATATTAAGAAAAGATCAAAGCGATTCAAGAAAAAACACTTTAAAAACCCTAAAATTCACTTTTCGCTATATAAAAATATAGAAATTGTTTTGTTTTTGCATAATAAGCCTCGTTCTCGTGCAGTATGAAGGCGCGGCCACTAAGTTTCGCAATTGGTCTATATTATCGTAATCTACCCTAATTTAGGATAGAATACATATTATCATACTATATAACATTGTTAACGTAAATTATATTGTTTCCATGTAATTCAGCTTTAGCTGCAAAATGGATTTTATTAAACTAATAATATAATATAATATATATCCTTTACGAGGCAGAAGAGCAAACTTAAAAATGGAGGAATTATTATGAAGGATTTTTCCATATTTGACGTCATTCCCACATGCAATGATTTCACAAAGCAAAAAGCTGAATATATATAGGATGCGCGCATTGATCCTGCTACATCGCACATTCAAAGGGCGCTTTCTAGCATTTGAGCTAATTCTCTGTCTGCTTTTTGCAGAAAGACACTTGCCGAAAGACATTTTCTCCAAGGGATCTTTTAACGGGGGTGCATTGCCAGAAATGAGGGACATTTGAACTGCGCATCCTCGGAATTTAGTAAACAAAGATGCCGGACATACTATAGTAAAATATATGGGTAGTGTAATATAATTCAAATTTGAACGAGTTCCGTATAACAGCTATATCATTTGCCGCCCTTCGTTGGGAACGAAAAACACTTCGGTAATCAAACAAAATACGTTTCATGTCGTAGTCTTACCTCCGTAAGGTTCCCACACTAATGCAATTCCACTGTGATCTGGCTACTGCTATGTATATTATTTAGCCCCATTTCCGCGTGAACGAGCACATTTAGCGTCCATTTGTGGTCGGCCGTATTTTCTGATGCAACTTGCCGCTCTCTCTTCATACACAACACATTATCAAATATTACTTCTGTAATTGTCATAGTGATCCGACCCCGTTAGCCGGTTCCCGTAAACGTTGAAAATCACGAAAATTAACTTATAGACACGATGCAATACACGCGAGATTTATATCGATGTCTATTAAAAAACGCTTCCAAGCCATGTTTTGTTTTTAATATATTGCGCCATTTTGGTATCAACAAGAAGCTCAGGAACCAGGCTTTATTATACGACAGGACAGAAGAGGAAATCTATGTATCCAGAGGGTAAAATGTGCTGTATTTGACCACATATACGGCAAAGTATCTCGATCTCCCTATTTACCAAGCGCATTAGATCATACTACAATGCTATTTTGCGCAATATAAATACTAAGAAACATTTAGACTTTTATCACGTCTTTGTTGTAATTTACGCACGAATGAGAGCCATAGCCTGAATAAATGTCTCAGTGAATATGCGAACTGTATAACTGCGTGTAAATATACTATTTTAAAACAATATCATTTGAATAATTTGAGCAAGATTTCTGTCTGACTTCGCTTTGCTTAAATTAGAGCCAATTAGTTAAATCAAGTACCCGTCAAGTAGCCGCTGTACAAGGCAGGCGCATGTCCCGCATTTCTGGCCATGCTACAAAACTTTTCAGCCCCACTGTAATATAACTGCAACCACTGTCTAGTCTTATAAATATTGACTGCATGTGGCTGATCAGATTACCTTGATACAGAGATTGTTCTGCTGGATTTGCTTCCACTTCTTGTAGCTGTAAAAGGATTTCTGAATGCATGAGTTGCAAATGAAAATTACTGGAGTTGTTAGTTTTAATTTTTACTTCCAAGTTAAACAAAGGAACAAAACTGCGCTGTCTATTAATTTATATCATATACTTTTGTTCAGTACATCAATTAAACATTTTTGAACGGGAACAACGCATGAGGTTTTGCCTTCCAGTAATTTGGGTGTGATTTGGACTGATGTGCATGCGAAATCAGCAACGAAATTACTTAACGAAGTGAACATTTTAAGATACTAACAACTGCATGATTTACAGCAACTTTCAGCAATCTCATTGACCGATTCGAAAACTAGCTACCACAATTTTGCATTATCTGCTAGGCTAATAACGAATCGTTAAACAGAGAATGTTATTTAAGGCAAAGTGTAAGAGTTTAAGATTGAAAACAATCCATACATGCAAGCGAAATTATAGTCCTTTGAAATGCGGTGCAAAAAAGAACCAAAACGAGACTATATAGTCAGACTTATTTGCTAAATCTAGCATAAAGCTCAATATTGCTTAACATTTAATTTCTCAAAGAGAATAGTTGTATTATATTTATACTTTGTAAAACTCTTAGTCTCGAAGTCTATATGATGGCAGTGATTATCTTCATTGGTTGAGATTATTTCGGAAGAAAAGGAAATGACAACTATATATATATTTTTTGAATCAGTCTTTCCAATCATGCAGTGAGCACAGACATGCATGGATCATTTCACTCATTTTGTGAGACTCGGTCGTTTGATAAGGATGATGCTTATGATTGTGTTGAATATATTATCTTTCCCAACCCAACTTTTCCCGCATGAAACCTGGAAATGGCCAAAAGAACTCTCCAAACAAATCTTAATAGTAGCGGAGTAACCATGCAGCAAAAATATACGTGAAACCCTTTCAATATAGTCTCACAGATGTCTTATTGCTTTGAGGTATCTTAATTTACCGAAATCGTAAAGTTTCCTTAGAATCATCCCTACCTTGATAGTACTTGATACCTACAGCGGTCCTCAGGCTCGATTCCTGCCAGCGGTTTTATCAGTTTTTATAACCGAGCTCCCGGTGAGGACTAAATTAGATTACGAAATACTCACGTAAATTAAAAGAGACCATATTTTCCAATATGTTCATAATTTAAGGTGATTCATCAGTAGTTGTTGTGGAAATAAGAATTAAGACTATAAAACTTCCCATGCAGGGGTGAAGTAAAAACGGGAAAAACGGGAAAAAAGTAACGGGAAAAACGGGAAAAAAGTTGGGGTCACCGAACTCGTTTCGAAGATATGACAAGTGCAATATGCCACCTTTCTCCCAATATGGCGCCATCTTGACCCTTTTACGAGTTACAGGACAATCGCAATTGCTCAACTGTTATTGAATTTTTTTAACAAGGATATCCTACTACAAATGTCTATCTGCATGTGATTATATACAGATGTACGACCATGACGGTCTTCCCATCTTCTCAGACATGTCATTCTGGGAAGCATACGCGAAAAATGTAAAATATTATAAGTTGTAGAAATGATTTTTCTCTTATTTTCTGATATACCATGTAAAACGTATAGAATAACAAAAATATAAAAATAATAAAAAAGTTAATTGGGTCACGGACCTTCTTAAAGAGATACAGGGATTAAACACGCAACATGCATGATATGGTTTAGTGTTAGTTGCACAGGAGCCCTTAGCCAGGGTCTGTCTAGCTTTCTGAAGTATGTCTAATAAATACAGAGTTTTTTTTCCCTTACTGGCCTTACTCTTTCTTTATCACTTTTATTACCTTGCAATTTGACTACACATATTTGCTAGAATTTGTTATTAGATATGCGCAGTAAAAGTGCGCAATGCGAAACTGATGAATCACGCGCGGTATGATGTTCCCGTACGTACACATTTTATAAATTAAAAATTATAGCACATAAAGAAAGAATCTTCAGTTTCAGAATTATTTATTTTATCTCAAAAATATGACAAAAGTAGATCCAGATTAATGCTTCTGTTCAAAAATGATCAAATTAAGTAATGTACGTAGTTCTTGCTTCATGCTAATGTGCTATAAAGAAAAAATATAACATAACATCAATATGATATTTCAAAATCAAGTGCCGGGAATGTAGTAAAGCCGAATAGTACATGAGAGTAGGTAACAATTCTAGCGCGATTCCTTTCTTTATAAATCCAATAGTCCAAATCCCATTTTAGTACATGAGAGTAGGTAACAATTCTAGCGCGATTCCTTTCTTTATAAATCCAATAGTCCAAATCCCATTTTAATTTAAATGCTTTTTCTACCATCCAGACCTAATTTATAATAGAGACCTGGTGAGTTCACCATATATGTATATATATATATATACTTACGTCTATAACACAAAAACTGTATTTCGTAGTCTTTACAACGACGATCGGGTTGATTTTTATTTGTACAAAACAAGCCCCTGGGTGTACATTGATAGCAAGCAGAAATCACTTCATTTGCCTGATACCAGGGTGTGTTGGTGTACTTCACTCTACAGTTGGCATCAACTGGTTTGTAGCCAGGGCGACATGCCTAGAGAAAATGATTTCGACTACATTATCATACAAGGTATCCCAAAAATTACCCACACTATATATTTTGTAATATTACTACTAACATTATATTTAATACAGTAATCAGATTTTTATTCTGGATTGAATGAGTAACATATGATATCATGATCATGCCAATCAAACGACCACATTCGCCTTCTATAGAATCACTTGATTGCGACACCAAGATTCTGACTGGCGCAGATTATAAAAATTACTTAAAAGTATTTCATAGGTATCGTAAAGAAATGGCAACCTATCTAACCCATTTAACAGTTAATCTAACTGTTATAAAAGATATTTTGAACTAGACATGCGAGCAAGTATATTATGATAAAGTACCTGAGAACGTTTGCTCGTGCACATGCATAATTTATAAGGACAATAATATAGGGTCTACATGTGAAAACTCTATTCCACATGCAGTGTTATGGTTTTCATATTTCCTGTATATTTCTACGGTTACTATATTGTTTAAAGTCTTCTGTCATGATAAATTTCTACTCTACAGTGGCCTTAAACTGATGATTTATGTTCCATATCGTATATACTGTATACAGCTATTTCAAATAAGGTTGTCCACGAACAAAGCGGAAAAGTCGAATACGAGCGCGAAAAGCTGCTGGGAATCGCTTTGGAAATTCATTAATTTGTTAGCGATTCCCAGCAGCCTTGCGCGCTCGTATTCGACTTTTTCGCTTTGCTCGTGGGCAACCTTAATTGAAATAGCTGTATATCACCAATACGGGGATACGGCCATTTATACGGGACAAAATAAATCGCGACTTACATAAGACGCGACTTAAATAAGACGCGAGTTCGTCGTATAAAAGGTACAAAATTCTTATGGATAAGACGCGCGACTTAAATAAAAACAGGATTTTTAGCTGTTCTTATTTAAGACGCGTCTCAAATAAGACATTTTACATAAAACGTCTAACTGCACAAAACTTGAAACAACGTAAAATTATAATCCTTGCATATTAAAACAAAAACAACCAAAACAACATTATAGCTATACCAAGTAAATAAGACTATATAGAGCCATAGAGCCAACCATTTATACGATAACTCCGCCTATATAAGACGCGTCTTATAAGTAATTAAGTCGCGACTTATTTTGTCTCGTATTAATGGCCCTATATATAATATCTCGTTCCGGGAAATTAAGAGAAACTATTGAAGATAAAGCAAAAGATATAGGGTTAAGATAAGATTCTGGCATGGTCAGGGGTTTCAGGTATATTGGTATTCAGAACCTTTTACTTTTGGTACACAGCTAATTCAAAAAAGGTTGTCGTTTGCAAGCCTTAAACTCTAAACCTTAAACCATAAATTCTATAAGTGTGCAAAGCATAATGGGAGCACAATTTAATCAGTTTAGAAATCATATATGCCGGGGCCCATTTCTTAAAGACATGGTAAATATCTTCTTATGAGAACAATTCATTCACAAATAGCTGCAATATTCAACTACTAAGCTTGCATGAAACTTGTGCTCCCATTATGCTTTGCACGCTTAGAGTTAAGGTTTATAGTGTAGATTTTAAGGTTTGCAAAGGACAAGCTTTTTTGAATTGGCTGTATATATAGGATATATTTTATTGTTAAAATAGGTTAAAATACTGGAATATGTATTTTACTTGCTATTGAATACAAGTGATCAGTTTTAGACAAGTGGCCATTTTCTTTAAAAATTATTTTAACCTAGTTTCCTGAATTTGGACAAGTTATTTTACCGAGTATTGGTATCGTTTTGTAGAAAGCTAGAAACGCTTGGTTATTCGGATCAGCCAAATATCATTAATGGATTGACAGAACATATTTGTTACTAATGCTGATGTACAGTAGCTATAGTTGGGACATTCAGTTTGGGAGATCAGACACTCTGTATAATTATGCTGTTTATATAACTGTATTTATTATGGTAAGCCGATAATTCCAGTGTATTTATTATGGTAAGCCGATTATTCCAGGTAAGGTTAATTCTTGATTAGAGTTAAGTTAGGATTACTAACCTAAAGGATTAATATTCAGGCAGGGGGACTTAGCCTACAATAATTTTGAAATGGTTTGGATAGATGCCCCTAATACCTATTATTTTAACAAACGACCGCCCCTACCCCCTCCTTTTAATGTTATGTCTCAGTTACCATCTTACCGGGGCGTGTGATCGGGTAAACAACAAGGGAAGAGGAGGGGGAGGGAGCTAAAGATTTATTGAACAACCGTTATCTAATATATTAGTATTCGATTCTGCTAACTCCTCTGGCTGGTCCTGATGATTAAGGTTATAGGGTTAAGATACAATTATAGATATATGGTTAAATCATTGAACTATAAAGAACTGGAAGGCTAAGTCAGGGGGGGGAGTTGAAGCCGTGCTTGAAGCTTTTTTTGTAGGTAGACCCAGTCCATTCATCTGTATTCTGAATACATCTGTATTCGAAGTTTCAAGGAGATTGAACGTTTTAAGGTCGGAACGTTTTAAGGTCGTTTTTTACATTTAAAAATTGACAAAAATATTGCCATATTCAAAGTGCTCATAAACAAGAAGAGCGATGACGAAAATAACATCACTTGAAAAACGCCAATTTATTTATTTTTTAGAAGGAATAAAACAAGGACTGAAAGCTCAGGATCAATAACAATACCCAGCTGGGGTTTAGTACAACATAAGTTTTGGGACTGTCAAAATGTTTTATAGTACATTTTTTGAGTTGAAGAGCGAGGTTTCCTGCGGCACGTCCAAACTTTCGTCATTTTTTTCAAAATACAAAAGCAAAATTCCTTACTTTTTGCTGCACAGAGATGTAAAACAGTTGGAACTAATCGGAAAACCTGGTTTGAATTTCAATCATTCCAGTATTCCCATGGAAAAAGTGTTTTTCTTGCAAATGTTTCCTCGAAAACAAACTTTTGACCGAATTTTTTTCACTCCTCGAAACTCTCCTTAGTCCTTTTGAAAGCTGATTTTCCCGCGCGCCGGCTTCAACGAACCATAGACTTTCATCATAGGAGTTAGCCTTCCAGTGATTTATAATAGTTCAATGGGTTAAATAGATTAAGAATATATAGCTACAATCTTGGACATAAACTGGTTGAAACTATTTTCTGGTTGAGACAGGTTGTGTCATGGTATATTACCAAACGTTGCCTTTCGGCGTTGTCAGTTACAACATTGAACTGGGGAGGGGAGGGGAGGGGAGGGGAGCAGAAGGAGTTTGTTTTGTCAATGTTCCATAACTTTATAATATTTGCTCGAATGGTCTCAAGGGTTTTGTCCAAGAAGATTGTAGCTATAAGAATAAAGGTATATATAGGGTACGTTAAGATGAGAATAAGGATATAGGATCACGATATGATTAAGGATATTTGGGTTAAATGAGATATAAAATATTAAGAAAAAATTAAGTTAAGTTAAGATTAAGTTAAGTTAAGTTAAGTTAAGATATATAGAGTTAAGGTTAAGATACGTTCAAGGATATGTTTAAATGAGATTACGAATATATAGCTATATAGTTAAGAAGAGATTAAGGATATAGGGTAAGATAAGATTTAGGATATAGGATAAGTTAAGATTAAGGTATACGGTTAAGATAAGAAATATGTTGCATAGGGTAACATAAGGATTAGGTTTATAGGATATGGAGTAGGATAGTATATTAAGAGCAGGAAAATTGTTAGGAGTATTCAGTAAAGCTCATTTATACTGTATGGATGTATTTAAATCGTCGTTGCATGCATGGTCAATGTTAAATTATATGTTCAGATCTCAACCCTAATTGGTTTTACCGTTGGCCTTTTGAAAGAACTATACGTTTCCCAATCCCCTGTGCCTGAAGGATTATCTCGGTCCAACCAGTGTGTCCAGTAAGACGCAGCATGACCTATAAGATTATGAACAGAATACATTAATCATTAGCATTTAAATTAAAAAGTATCCTTCATAACGAAATCCATTGTTCATTCGCCCATGAAAGCCAGCTATATAGCCTTTGCTACCGGACAAAATACGGGAAAGATTTCTCGGGCCCAATATATCATTTAAAACATCTTTCAAATGACAGAATCATATTATTATACATATTTTCAAACACTCATTAATAATTCATAAACTTATTGGCAAATCATGTCAACCATAATATGTCACGTGCAGTGGCTTTAAACCTGATAAAACACTCCTAATTAGTATTCTTTATATAAAGAATACTAAAAAGGCAGTATCTATTGTAGTCGTGTCCTCATTAGTATTTTTTATATAAAGAATACTAATAAGGCAGTAAATCTATTGAATTTGTAGTCGTGTTTGAAGCCGTTTAATAAACTCGCAGGTCGTGTTTTATTAGGTCTAAAGCCACTCGCGCTGCGCGCTCGTGGCTTTAAACCTAATAAAACACTCCTACTCGTTTATTAAACAGTACATAAAGCATCTTTAATTAAGCAACTTTTTTAACACGTTGGAAAGCAAGGTTTATATCTTCAACTGATAAACAGTTGAAAGGTTTATCTTCAACTGATAAACAGTTCTTACCTGAGAAAACTAAAGTGGAAATAATAAAAGTTGCAAAAAGAAATTTCATCTTCAAAATTAATTTGCAATATAGACTGGCCTATACAAGAAAAGCGAAAATAAATAAATTAGAGTTGACGTCAGACTAAGCGGGAAATTTACATTAAACGATACAATAAAAATAGTTATTGACGTCCATAAAGTGAAGCAAGGAATTGCATGGAATAAACATTAAAGGGTAAGTAGTCTGATGGCTATACACATTTTCGATAATTACATCATGAATACGTTCTTGACCTGGGAGCCTCGCTCTCATGAATCGTGAATCATGACGGAAGGCGATTGGCTCACAATTCATGAAAATGAGGCTCCTGGGCCAAGTACGAATTCATGATGTAATTATCGAAAAAGTGTATTAAAGAGTACAATGCCGTTTATATACATGATATGATCAGCCGGATAGTCGGTCGGTTCGAATTAAACAATAACATAACAATGTAACATACAGATAAGAAATATATACTTAATTCATATAGTGTATTTCGTCTGCAAGTGCCCTTCGGGTGCGGGCTATATTTTCCCCAGTCGGTCTGGAGTAGGGGGTTATTAGAATGGGATGGGGGGCTAAATATAGAGTTTTGGAGCGAAATAACTTTTCATGTTCTTGTAAAAAGTATTAAATTGAACCATCATTAGAGGAACATTTCGAAATATATTCATATAATTTACTATTATTTAGCCGCTATATCAGTGAACGTTATATGCACAGCTACAGGCATACGAAACAATTAGGGGCAGCCCCCCTCCTAAGTCACGCTAGCGGCTGGCTCACGATTCAAGACACTTCACACGTGGAATTACCCAACACAAGTATAGTATAGTATAGTAGAACTTTATTTAACCACGCTTCCCTCATCACCCATGGATGATTTTCATGAGGGGCGTCACACAAATTACATTCTAAAAACTAATATAAATTAAATATGAAATCGAATAACACAGAATAGCAAATACGTAGATAAAAAAGTTAAAAAACCAAGACTATTCGATGCCTGACTCTGTTGCACACATTATTTTATCAAATTTTTGAAGCTACTTAAAGATTCTGTTTGCTTTGTCTGCGTAGGTAAACTATTCCATAGTACTAAGATTTATGTCCCTTGTTATAAATTTATCCTTTAAGTTCGGAGCTGAGTGGTTGTTTAATATCTTAAACATCAGGACCGATTTATTCATTTTATGTCTGTTGTTCAGATTTTTCCATGACATAGCATGGAGCAAATCTGTCGACCTGACATCATAATTGGCACCTGTCATAATTCTTGCCGCGCCCTATTTTGTAGTTTTTGTAATTTCTCTTTGAGCATGCTTGCACAATTATCCAATAAACTGAACAATAGTCAAAATATGGGAGAATGAGAGAATTATATAAATTTTGTAGTGTTTCGGACGGTACAAACGGCTTTACTCTTTTGATGATTCCAATACCGGAGCCAACTTTCCTACATATTGTGTCTATATGGTTTTCCCAGCTCATTCTTTCATCTAGTTCTACTCCCAGACATGGAAAAGAGGAATAACGAGTAACCGGTTTATCATTTATCATAACCTGTTTATTACCAACTTTGTTTTTTAAGTTATAGGGTGATCCTATAAACATTGCTTTTGTCTTTTTTGTGTGAAGTTGCAATTTATTTCGAGAGAGCCATTTGACTATATTTTCTAAATCCTGATTAAGTTTGGTTACTAGTTCGAAGAAACTTGCGGAAGATGCATATATTTGAGTATGATCAGCATACATGCCAGGAGTTGTGTTTTTCAGACATTCTGGCAAATCATTTATATTATTATAGTAAAAACATGAGGGGTCCCAAGATAGATCCCTGTGAAACTCCGCATACAATTTCCTTAGCCAACGATGTGTGGCCATTCGTCAAATAGGATTGGAACCATTTTAGCTCAAAATCTTGAACACAAAATTGGTCTTGCATCTTCCTTAATAGGATTTTATGATCAATAGAGTCAAAGGCTTTCCTAATATCAACTGAAATTAATCCGGTTATTTCTCCATTATCCATATTTTCAAACCAATTGTCACTCATTTCTATTAATAATAAGGACAGTGTCGAATGTTTGGGCCGGAAGCCCGATTGAAAACGTGAAAGTAGAGAATTGTCTATCAGATATTGATAGAGCTGTCCAAACACTTCTTTCTCAAATAATTTGCTGATAATGGGAAGAATAGATATCGGGCGATAGTTTTCACATTTCGTACTATCTTCTGTTTTATAAACAGGTATTACCCTAGCTCTTTTCCAATCATCAACATATTTCCCAGTAGAAATTAAAAGATTAAATATATAGGTCAAGGGTTGGGCAATAATATCACAAGATAATTTCAGCATTTTGGCTGGTATTCCATCAGCCCCGGTAGCTTTGGATACTTTTAGATTTTTCAGGTTTTTTAGAATATTGGTTTCAGTAATTGTATGGAAATAGAATTTTGAATTTACACCAGTTGAATTACAATGCAAGTCTTTATAATCCGAAAGACGTTCACATTCAGCAGCGAGTATTGGGCCAACATTAACAAAATAGTCGTTTAAGTCGGTTCAGCCAATTGTTTGCGACAATATTAATTTCTGCAATATTAGATGATTTCCCACCTTTGCCCAATATAGGGTGTTTATCAGTGACCATGTTTTTTTCATGTCTTTAGCTAGGGAAAATTCCGCCTTAATTCTTGTTTGATAATATAGACAGTTTTGGCCCTTTTCATTTCCGAGTTAACTTTATTTCTCTCCGATTTATATTTATCCCAGTGAACCTGGGAATTATATTTCTTTGCTCTCTTTTTATGATAGTCTCTGGATCTTATTAGCTTTTTAATGTTGGAATTTATCCAGGGAACAGAATTGTGCTTAATGCTTTTATAAATTATAAAATTAAGGGTGCATGTCTGTCAAGAGCTTCCAAAAAAAAAGATTTCCAGACATGCCAATTATCGTTCGGGATACAAACCGAATACTAAGAAATTAGATACTAATAATTTCTCAAACAAAAATGTGAGTAGCAATTTTTCAGCGACTCTTAATTCCATTCCCAATGAAAGAGGTTTTAAGATGGCCTTTTTAAATATTGTTAGTTTACCCGGTAAAATAGATGAAATTCGTCATTCAATGTGTAGCAAAAACATTGATTTAATTGCATTCAACGAGACACGACTAGACCTGAGTATTTCTGATGGCCTCATTCATTTAGATGGTTATGAGGTTGTTAGAAAAGATCGTTCCCGCAATGGAGGCGGAGTTTGTATATACCTTCGTAGCTCCATCAACTATAAAATAAGGTCAGATCTCGTTACCCCTGAATTGGAGGCCGTTTGTTTAGAAATTACTAAACCACAAAGTAAACCATTTATTGTCACTACAATTTACAGACCGCCAAATGCAACTGCCGAATTTTTTGACCATTTGGAAAAACTTATTAAACAAATTGATGATGAGAATAAAGAAATGTACATTTTAGGTGACCTAAATTGCAATTTGTTAGAGGAAAAAAATTTTTTCAGTATGCCAACAAATAAACTATATTCAATATACGAATTATACCAACTATCCCAGTTGATAAATGAACCAACTCGAGTTACTATGAGGTCATCTAGCCTTATTGACCATGTAGTTACGAATACACCTGAGAAAATTTCACACTCTGGTGTTGTACACACTGGAATAAGTGATCACAGTTTAGTCTATGCAATCAGAAAAATTGGAGTTTTCATAAAGCTAATGATTTTGTTGAAATTAGAAATATGAAAAACTTCAATGAAAAGAATTTTATGGATGAGCTTCTTAATCAACATTGGGAATACATTTACTTTTTCGGTAAAAATCCAAATGCCATGTGGGAATTATGGAAAGAACTTTTTCTAGAAGTTCTGAACAAACATGCTCCATTACAACACAAAAAAACTAAGTCTAGTAAAGTGGCTTGGATAACGAACAATATTAAGGGTCTCATAAATACAAGAGACAAACTGAAAAGAAAAGCAATTATCACAAAGTTAGAGACTGATTGGTCAAACTACAAAAAAGTTAGAAATCAAGTCAACATTGAACTAAGAAATGCCAAAAAGAATTATTCTTCTTCAAAACTTGCTGATCAAAAATGTAACCCAAAGAAAGCATGGAAGTCAATTAATAATTTGCTTGGCAAACAAAACAAACATTCAAAAGTAAATGAACTCAAATTAGGAGAGAATGTTCTAAACAATCCAAAAGATATTGCAGAGGGCTTTAACAGCTATTTTTCAAACATTGGCCCAGATCTAGCGAGCCAAATACACACAACAAATTGCAATTTTGAGTCGTATATCAAAAAGGCTAAATCAGAATTTGCTGCATTCCAACCTACAAATGTTAATAATGTCTACCAGTTGCTCAGTGCATTATATAGCAACAAAGCAACTGGCATTGACAAAATATCGTGTAAAATTATTACAATAGCTGCACCTGCCATTGCAGATTCACTTACATATATTTTTAATCAAGCTATTACTTTATCCTCCTTTCCTGATGACTGGAAAATGGCAAGATTAATACCTCTCTACAAAAATGGCCATCGAAATATTCCTGGCAATTATAGACCCATGCATTTCAATTCTACCAACTATAAGCAAAATAATGGAGCGAATTTTATACAATCAACTTTATGATTATTTAACTGAATTTAGACTACTCAGTAATAATCAATTTGGTTTCCAAAAATCTCATTCTACAGCAACAGCTCTTTTAGATTGTACAAACGAGTGGTATGTGAATATAGATAAGAAAATGTTTAACCTCGTAGTTTTTATAGACCTAAAAAAGGCATTTGATACTGTCAACCATGACATTTTACTGAAAAAGCTGGAATTTTATGGAATAACAGGTCAAGCCCATGACTTATTAAAATCATATCTTTCAAACCGACACCAAAAGTGTCAAATAGACAATTTTACTTCATCAGAACATTTGATTAAATGTGGTGTACCACAAGGTTCTATTTTGGGGCCATTACTGTTCTTGTTGTATATCAACGACTTACCCGAGTGTCTAAAAAATACAAGACCTCGGTTATTCGCTGATGACACAAACATCACAGCCACTAGTCACACCATAGCTGATATTGAGACTGCAGCAAATTCCGATCTGGAAAACCTCAAAAACTGGTTAATAGCCAACCCACTTAGCTTGAATGTAGCTAAAACTGAATTTATGTTGATTGGGTCTCCACAAATGATAAGGAATGCCTCTAATGCTCAACCAAATATCCTAATTGAAAACAAACAAATGCAACAAGTAAACAAAGCCAAAACCCTAGGAATAATTATGGATCAGCATTTATCTTGGAAACCCAATACTGCAAATATTTGCCAAAAAAAATAACATCAGGAATCTCAGCACTACGTCATGTCAAACCATTTATTGCTGAAAGAGATACGCTCACCTCCATATACAATGGCATCGTACGTCCCTACTTCGACTATTGTTCAGAAGTTTGGGATGTATTGGGTGAATTACAATCAAAACGACTACAAAAGCTCCAAAACAGAGCTAGGACAAGGTTTTTCACTCTGAGGACAAGGTTTTTCACTCTGAGGACAAGGTTTCTCCCACTGAGGACAAGGTTCTTCACCCTGAGGAGTGAGGACAGGGTTCCTCACTCTGAGGAAAAGATTCCTCCCTCTGAGGACATGGTTTCTCACGTTGAGGACAAGGTTCTTCATTCTGAGGACAAGGTTCTTCACCCTGGGAACAAGGTTCTTTTCTCTGAGGACAAGGTTCTTTAATCTGAGGACGAGGTTCTTCTCTCTGAGGACGAGGTTCTTCTCTCTGAGGACAAGGTTTCTCACAGTGAGGACAAGGTTGCTCACTTTGAGGACAAGGTAACTCTTTCTGTGGACTAGGTTTCTCACTCTGCGGAGAACGTTCTTCACTCTGACGACAAGGTTCCTCACACGAAGGACAAGGCTCCTCACTCTGAGGAGAAGGTTTCTCACTCTGAGGAGAAGGTACCTCACACGGAGGACAAGGTTGCTAAGTCTGCGGACAAGGTTTGTCACTCTAAGAACAAGGTAACTCATTTTGAGGACAAGGTTCTTCACTCTGAGGTCAAGGTTCTTTACTCTGAGGACAAGTTTCTTCATTCTGAGGACAAGGTTCTTCGCTCTGAGGACAAGGTTCTTCATTCTGAGGACAAGATTCTTCACTCTGAGGTCAAGGTTCTTTACTGTGAGGACAAAGTTCTTCACTCTGAGGACATGGTTCTTCACTCTGAGGACAAGGTTCTTCACTCTGAGGACAACGTTCCTCACCCTGAGGGGAAGGTTTTTCACTCTGAGGACAAGGTTTCTCACTCTGAGGACAAGGTTTCTCTCACTGAGGACAAGGTTCTTCACCCTGAGGACAAGGTTCCTCACTCTGAGGACAAGATTCCTCACTCTGAGGACATGGTTTCTCACGTTGAGGACAAGGTTCTTCATTCTGAGGGCAAGGTTCTTCACCCTGGGGACAAGGTTCTTCTCTCTGAGGACAAGGTTCTTTAATCTGAGGACGAGGTTCTTCTCTCTGAGGACGAGGTTCTTCTCTCTGAGGACAAGGTTCCTCGCACCCAGGACAAGGTTGCTCACTTTGGGGAGAATGTTCCTCTTTCTGTGGACTAGGTTTCTCACTCTGAGGTGAACGTTCTTCACTGTGAGGACAATGTTCCTCACACTGAGGACAAGGTTCTTCACTCTGAGGACAAGTTTCCTCGCACGGAGGACAAGGTTCTTCACTCTGAGGACAAGGTTCCTCACACTGAAGACAAGGTTCTTCATTCTAAGGACAAGGTTCCTCATTCTGAGGACAAGGTTTCTCACTCTGAGGACAAGTTTTTTCAACATGAGGACAAGTTTTTTCAATCTGAGGACAAGGTTTCTTACTTTGAGGACAAGGTTTTTCACTCTGAGGACAAGGTTTCTCAATCTGAGGAGAATGTTCCTCCCACTGAGGGCAAGGTTCTTCACCCTGAGGACAAGGTTCTTCACTCTGAGGACAAGATTCCTCACTCTCAGGACATGGTTTCTCACTTTGAGGACAAGGTTCTTCATTGTGAGGACAAGGTTCTTCATCCTGGGGACAAGTTTCTTCTCTCTGAGGACAAGGTTCTTTAAAATGAGGACGAGGTTCTTCTCTCTGAGGACGAGGTTCTTCTCTCTGAGGACAAGGTTCCTCACACTGAGGACAAGGTTGCTCACTTTGAGGACAAAGTTCCTCTCTCTGTGGACTAGGTTTCTCACTCTGAGGTGAACGTTCTTCACTGTGAGGACAATGTTCCTCACACTGAGGACAAGTTTCTTCACTCTGAGGGCAAGGTTCCTCACACGAAGGACAAGGTTCCTCACTCTGAGGACAAGGTTTCTCAATCTGAGGACAAGGTACGTACCTCACACGGAGGACAAGGTTGCTCAGACTGAGGACAAGGCTTGTCACTCTGAGGACAAGGTAACTCATTTTGAGGACAAGGTTCTTCATTCTGAAAAGAAGGTTCTTTTCTCTGAGGACAAGTTTCTTCATTCTGAGGAAAAGGTTCTTCACTCTGAGGACAAGCTTCTTCATTCTGAGGACAAGGTTCTTCACTCTGATGTCAAGGTTCTTTACTGTGAGGACAAAGTTCTTCACTCTGAGGACATGGTTCTTCACTCTGAGGACAAGGTTCTTCACTCTGGGGACACGGTTCTTTATTCTGAGGTCAAGGTTCTTCATTCTTAGGACAAGGTTCCTCACCCTGAGGGGAAGGTTTTTCACTCTGAGGACAAGGTTTCTCACCCTGAGGACAAAGTTCCTCCCCTGAGGACAAGGTTCTTCACTCTGAGGACAAGGTTCCTCATTCTGAGGACAAGATTCCTCACTCTGAGGACATTGTTTCTAACTTTGAGGACAAGGTTGTTCATTCTGACGGTAAGGTTCTTCACCCTGAGGACAAGGCTCTTCTCTCTGAGGACAAGGTTCTTTACTCTGAGGACAAGGTTCTTCACTCTGAGGACAAGGTTTCTCACTCTGAGGCCAAGGTTCCTCACTCTGAGGACAAGGTTTCTCTCTCTGAGGACAAGGTTTCTCAATTTGAGGGCATGGTTCTTCATTCTGAGGACAAGGTTTTTTATTTTGTGGACAAGGTTCTTCACTCTGAGGACAAAGTTCTTCACACTGAGGAAAAGGTTCTTTACTGTGAGGTCAAGGTCCCTTACTCGGAAGACAAGCTTTCTCGCTCTGAGGACAATGTTCCTCACTTTGAGGAAAGGTTCTTCCCTCTGAGGACAAGGTTCCTCACTCAGAGGACAAGGTTTCTCACTCTGAGGACAAAGTTTTTTACTCGGAGGACAAGGTTCTTCACTCAGAGGAGAAGGTCCCTCACTCGGGGGACAAGGTCCATCACTCTGAGGACAAGGTTCCTCACCTCGAGGACAAGGTTCTTAACTCTGAGGACAAGGTTCTCAGTCTGATGACAAGGTTTGTCTCTCTGAGGACAAGGTTCCTCACCCTGAGGACTAGGTTCTTCGTTCTGAGGACAAGGTTCTTCACTCTGAGGACAAGGTTCTTCACTCCGAGGACAAGGTTCTTTACTCTGAGGACAAAGTTCTTCACTCTAAAGACAAGGTTCTTCACTCTGAGGGCAAGGTTCTTCATTCTGAAGTCAAGGTTCCTCACTCTCAGGACAAGGTTCTTCACTCTGAGGACAACGTTCCTCACCCTGAGGACAAGGCTCTTCACTTTGAGGGCAAGGCTCTTCACTCTGAGGACAAGGTTCTTTACTCTGAGGACAAAGTTCTTCACTCTAAAGACAAGGTTCTGCACTCTGAGGGCAAGGTTCTTCATTCTGAAGTCAAGGTTCCTCACTCTCAGGACAACGTTCTTCACTCTGAGGACAACGTTCCTCACCCTGAGGACAAGGTTCTTCACTCTGAGGACAAGGTTCTTTACTCTGAGGACAATGTTCTTCACCCTTAGGACAAGGTTCCTCACACTGAGAACAAGGCTTCTCAGTCTGATGATAAGGTTTCTCTATCTGAAGACAAGGTACCTCACTTTGAGGACAAGGCTCTTCATTCTGGAAAGAAGGTTCTTTACTCTGAGGACAAGGTTCTTCACTCGGAGGACAAGGTATTTCACTCTGAGGACAAGGTTCTTCATTCTGAGGACAAGGTTCTTCACTCTGAGGTGAAGGTTCTTCACTGTGAGGACAAAGTTCTTCACTCTGAGGACATGGTTCTTCACTCTGAAGACAAGGTTCTTCATTCTGAGGAGAAGGTTCCTCACTCTGAGGACAAGGCTTTTCATTCTGAGGACCAGGTTCCTCACCCTGAGGACAAGGTTCTTCACTTTGAGGACAAGGTTCTTTGATCTGAGGACAAGGCTCCTAATTTTGAGGAGAAAGTTCTCCATTCTGAGGACAAGGTTCTTTACTCGGACGACAAGGTTCCTCACAATGAGGACAATGTTCTTCATTCTGAGTACAAAGTTCTTCACTCTGATGACAAGGTTCTTCACACTGAGGACAAGGTTTTTTCTCTCTGAGGACAAGGTTCCTCACTCTGAGGACAAGGTTTCTCACTCTGAGGTCAATGTCCCTCACACCGAGGACAAGTGTCTTCACTCTGAGGACAAGCATCCTCATACTGAGGACAAGGTTTCTCACTCTGAGGACAAGGTTCCTCACTTTGAAGACAAGGTTCTTCTTTCTGAGGACAAGGTTCCTTCTGTAAGGACAATGTTCTCGTTTCTGAGGACAAGGTTCTTCTCTCTGAGGACACGGTTCTTCACTCTGAAGACAAGGTTCCTCACACTGAGAACAAGGTTCCTCACTCTGAGGACAAGGTTTCTCACTCTGAGGACAAGGTTCCTGAAACTGAAGACAAGGTTCTTCACTCTGATGACAAGGTTTCTCAACCTGTGAACAAGGTTCTCTCTGAGGACAAGTTTCTTCACTGTGAGGACATGGTTCCTCGCCCTGAGGACAAGGTACTTCACTCTGAGGACAAGGTTCTTTACTCTGAGGAGAAGGTTGTTCACTGCGAAGACAAGGTTCCTCACAATGAGGTCAAGTTTCCTCTCTTTGAGGACAAGGTTCGTCTTTCTGAGGACAATGTTCTTCACCCTGAGGGCAAGGTTCTCCACTCTGATGAAAATGTTCCTCACTCCGAGGACAAAGCTCCTAACTTTGAGGACAAGGTTCTTCATTCTGAGGACAAGGCTCTTCATTCTGAGGACAAGGTTCTTCATTCTGAGGAAAAGGTTCCTCACTCCGAGGACAACGCTCCTAAGTTTGAGGAGAAGGTTCTCCATTCTGAGGACAAGGTTCTTTACTCTGAGGACAAGGTTCTTCACACTGAGGACACGGTTCCTTACTCTCAGGACAAAGTTCTTCACCCTTGGGACAAGGTTCTTCACTCTGAGGACAAGGTTCTTCATTCTGAGGACAAGGTTCCTCACTCTGTGGACAAGGTTCTTCACTCTGAGGACAAGGTTCCTCACTCTGAGGAAAAGGTTTTTCACTCTGAGGACAAGGTTCCTGAAACTGAAGACAAGGTTCTTCACTCTGAGGACAAGGTTTCTCACCCTGAGGACAAGGTTCTTCACTCTCAGGACAAGTTTCTTCATTCTGAGGACAAGGTTCTTCACTCTGAGGACATGGTTCCTCACCCTGAGGACAAGGTACTTCACTCTGAGGACAAGGTTCTTTACTCTGGGGAAAATGTTGTTCACTCTGAAGACAAGGTTCCTCACAATGAGGTCAAGTTTCCTCGCTTTGAGGACAAGGTTCTTCATTCTGAGGACAAGGTTCTTCATTCTGAGGACAAGGTTCTTCATTATGAGGACAAGGTTCTTCATTACGAGGACAAGCTTCTTCATTCTGAGAACAAGGTTACTCATTCTGAGGACAAGGTTCCTCACTCTGTGGACAAGATTCTTCACTCTGAGGACAAGGTTCCTCTCTCTGAGGAAAAGGTTCTTCACTCGGAGGGCAAGGTTCCTGAAACTGAAGACAAGGTTCTTCACTCTGAGGACAAGGTTTCTCACAGTGAGGACAAGGTTCTTCACCCTGAGGTCACGGTTCTTTACTTTGAGGACAAAGTTCTTCACTCTGAGGACATGGTTCTTCACTCTGAGGACAAGCTTCTTCACTCTGAGGACAAGGTTCTCCACTCTGAGGAAAAGGTTCTTCACTCTGAGGACAAGGTTCCTGAAACTGAAGACAAGGTTCTTCACTCTGATGACAAGGTTTCTCACCCTGAGGACAAGGTTCTTCTCTCTGAGGACAAGTTTCTTCACTCTGAGGACATGGTTCCTCGCCCTGAGGACAAGGTACTTCACTCTGAGGACAAGGTTCTTTACTCTGAGGAAAAGGTTGTTCACTGCGAAGACAAGGTTCCTCACAATGAGGTCAAGTTTCCTCGCTTTGAGGACAAGGTTAGTCTTTCTGAGGACAATGTTCTTCACCCTGAGGACAAGGTTCTCCACTCTGATGAAAATGTTCCTCACTCCGCGGACAAAGCTCCTAACTTTGAGGACAAGATTCTTCATTCTGAGGACAAGGTTCTTCATTCTGAGGACACGGTTCTTCATTCTGAGGAAAAGGTTCCTCACTCCGAGGACAACGCTCCTAAGTTTGAGGACAAGGTTCTCCATTCTGAGGACAAGGTTCTTTACTCTGAGGACAAGGTTCTTCACCCTGAGGACACGGTTCCTTACTCTGAGGACAAAGTTCTTCACCCTTGGGACAAGGTTCTTCACTCTGAGGACAAGGTTCTTCATTCTGAGGACAAGGTTCCTCACTCTGTGGACAGGGTTCTTCACTCCGAGGACAAGGTTCCTCACTCTGAAGAAAAAGGTTCTTCACACTGAGGACAAGGTTCCTGAAACTGAAGACAAGGTTCTTCACTCTGAGGACAAGGTTTCTCACCCTGAGGACAAGGTTCTTCACTCTCAGGACAAGTTTCTTCATTCTGCGGACAAGGTTCTTCACTCTGAGGACATGGTTCCTCACCCTGAGGACAAGGTACTTCACTCTGAGGACAAGGTTCTTTACTCTGGGGAAAAGGTTGTTCACTCTGAAGACAAGGTTCCTCACAATGAGGTCAAGTTTCCTCGCTTTGAGGACAAGGTTCTTCTTTCTGAGGACAAGGTTCTTCATTCTGAGGACACGGTTCTTCATTCTGAGGAAAAGGTTCCTCACTCCGAGGACAACGCTCCTAAGTTTGAGGACAAGGTTCTCCATTCTGAGGACAAGGTTCTTTACTCTGAGGACAAGGTTCTTCACCCTGAGGACACGGTTCCTTACTCTCAGGACAAAGTTCTTCACCCTTGGGACAAGGTTCTTCACTCTGAGGACAAGGTTCTTCATTCTGAGGACAAGGTTCCTCACTCTGTGGACAAGGTTCTTCACTCCGAGGACAAGGTTCCTCACTCTGAAGAAAAAAGTTCTTCACACTGAGGACAAGGTTCCTGAAACTGAAGACAAGGTTCTTCACTCTGAGGACAAGGTTTCTCACCCTGAGGACAAGGTTCTTCACTCTCAGGACAAGTTTCTTCATTCTGCGGAAGAGGTTCTTCACTCTGAGGACATGGTTCCTCACCCTGAGGACAAGGTACTTCACTCTGAGGACAAGGTTCTTTACTCTGGGGAAAAGGTTGTTCACTCTGAAGACAAGGTTCCTCACAATGAGGTCAAGTTTCCTCGCTTTGAGGACAAGGTTCTTCTTTCTGAGGACAAGGTTCTTCACCCTGGGGACAAGGTTCTCCACTCTGATGAAAAGGTTCCTCACTCCGAGGACACAGCTCCTAACTTTGAGGACAAGGTTCTCCATTCTGAGGACAAGGTTTTTCATTCTGAGGACAAGGTTCTTCATTCTGAGGACAAGGTTCTTCATTATGAGGACAAGGTTGCTCACTCTGAGGACAAGGTTCTTCGCTCTGAGGACAAAGTTCTTCACACTGAGGACAAGGTTCCTCACTCTGAGGACAAGGTTTCTCATTCTGAGGACAAAGTTTTTTACCCTGAGGACAAGGTTTTTCACTCTGAGGACAAGGTTCCTCACACTGATGACAAGGGTCTTCACTCTGAGGACAATGTTCCTCACTTTGAAGACAAGGTTCTTCATTCTGAGGACAAGGTATTTTACTGTGAGGACAAGTTTTCTCACTATGAAGACAAGGTTCCTCACTTTGAGGACAAGGTTGTTCACTCTGAGGAAAAGGTTGTTCACCCTGAGGACAAGGTTCTTCACTCTGAGGACAAGGTTCGTCACTCAGAGGACAAGGTTCTTCACTCTGAGGACAAGAATCTTTACTCTGAGGACAAAGTTCTTCACTCTGAGGATAAGGTTCTTAAATCTGGTGACAAGGATCTTTACTCTGAGTACAAAGTTCTTCACTCTGAGGACAAGGTTCTTCCCTCTGAGGACAAGGTTCTTCTTTCTGAGGACAAGGTTCCTCACTTTGAAGACAAGGTTCTTCATTCTGAGGACAAGGTTTTTTACTGTGAGGACAAGGTTTCTTACTATGAAGACCAGGTTCCTCACTTTGAGGATTAGATTCTTCATTGTTAGGTCAAGGTTCTTCACTCTGAGGACAAGGTTCTTCACTCTGAATACAAGGTTCTTCACTCTGAGGATAAGGTTGTTCACCCTGAGGACAAGGTTCTTCACTCTGAGGACAAGGTTGTTCATTCAGAGGACAAGGTTCTTCATTCTGAGTACAAGGTTCCTCACTCTGAGAACAAGGTTCCTCACTCTGAGGACAAGGTTCTTCACTCTGAGGACAAGGT